ACAAGCGTGGTGGCCAGGATATTCTAGAGATGTATAAGTCTATGTAAAACGATGCCCAAAATGTTCTGAAATAAAAAAAAAAATGCAAAACAGATTTCACTCGTATTCGAAAGAAAAAGAATCATGTGTTCGGGTACACATGGTTCATGCCCATATTAAAGGCATGGGCTATTTTTAATTTTAGTGGACTTATTTTCAGGATGGCCCGAAGTAATTAAGGATTCTGACAGAAAAGTCACCACTGTCAAACAAATATTAAGAACAATATTTTCAAGGAATGGCCTCAGATAACGCGCCAGAATTTTACGAGGCAATTTTGTGCTTGTAGCTAAATTGTATTGGACGCGTCCCGTATAAAACATAACCTTGCCACCCACAATCGAATGGAATCGCAGAATGACTGTTGCAGACTTTCTCAAAACGTATGGGATTAAAAGTATTTTGGTCATCTATTAATAATATAGAGAGTTATTTATCAAGATTACTGTTAAGGTATAGGACAACTCCACATGCCGGCAGCCTACAAAGTTCCTCCGCATTAATGGGTAGACAGAGCTCCAGTAACAATGTTATTTTCAACAAGTGAAAGTGTATGGTATAAAAAACGAATTTAATCCAGAGAAGGCGAACTTTATAGTACAGAAAGGACACATCAAAGCAATACTAACGAAAACTATATAAAATGTACTGACCAATGAGGATCAATTCAGAATCAAAATGGAAACCGAGTATATAGAAATGGGCAAAGAATCTGCAGAACATGAAGTGGGGGAGGAGAATAATGAATCCAGTAATGAAACTGAACAATCTATAGATGTTAATGACCAGAAACCTGACGATGAGTCGGAAGAGGAAAATGAATTCAGACATAAGTACCCTACAAGAAAAAATCAAAATATACAGCAAGAAAGATAGTTTTGATTTCCAAGAATGATTAGAAGTCAAAAATCAAAGAAATTTCATTTCGGTTCAGGAACGTGTAGTATTGAATATAAATGAGGTACATCTATAAAAGCAGTAACCCACAGCGAATTCCGGTCGATCTACCATCTGTTGACCTGACGTATATTGCAGATAGTACTCTACTTCATAACTTAAATTTCCTACATATCCTCATATAATCGGCACTTCTTACCTCCTCCTCGGCTGATATTCGTACAGCAACCCCATTCAATAACTGTTTAACTTGCGTAGCCGAAACAGGTTTATACCAAAATATATAAAGCCTGCAATACCTCATCTACAAATTAGATATCTATAATACATGCATTTATATTGAAAGTATAAAATTATGTACAAAAATATTTTTAGTTGAAGCCATAAAATTGCGTACAAAATATTTTCATTTCGGCATTAAAAAACCCACCGAGGTTGATATGCCGCTAAACAAAATCAAGCAATATTCAAAAAACATAAAATAACGTTCTTAAGTTTGGTTATATATCGAGATTTTTCAGAAGTAGGTTGAGACTAGAACTTTACAACACATCTATTTCTGATACACATAACTCAATATTTGTTTTGTTTTATAGATCGGTGTTTGGGAAACAAATAAATGCGAGGCAAAGGGTACAGAGTCTTTCTTTTTTGGGAATTTACACAATGTATCTCTTTACGTAAATGTGACGTCAGAAGAAGCATTTAGTGGTTGCGGCTAAACAATTGTTAGGTATCAAGTCTATTTCTCACGCTTTACAACAAAAGGAGTGGAACGGTGAACCTCTGCTTAATTTACCGGAGGTTAGAAAAAGAAAAACGAGAGACAAGCTATGTTTTCTGTATAATTACTCTATTCTACTGTGACCATGTCATTGACGTATTTAATCTTTGTGACGACTTATTTCACAAATACACACACACACACACACACTCTCTCTCTGTTTCTCTCATACTCACTCACTCTCTTTCTCTCATACTCACTCACTCTCTCTCTCTCTCTCTCTCTGTCTATGTAGATTTGTGTGTAAGTGAGTATGAAGTTATCATTCAATCACGGTTTTTTTCATATCTATCTCAGCCTACCTATTTCAGTTTATTCCTACCTATCTGTCTCAACCTATTCCTATCTATCTATCTATCTATCTATCTATCTATCTATCTATATGTCTGTCTGTCTGTCTCAGTCTATTCCTATCTATCTATCTATCTATCTATCTATCTATCTATCTATCTATCTGTCTGTCTGTCTGTCTCAGCCTATTCCTATCTATCTATCTATCTGAGCCTATTCCTATGTATCTATCTATCTTAGCCTATCTATCTCAGCCTATTCCTATCTATCTATCTATCTATTCTATCTATCTATCTATCTATCTATCTCAGCCTATTCCTATCTGTCTATTATCATCTATCTCAGTCTGTTACCATCTGTTATATATATTATAGATTAGCTGATTTAAAATATTGTTAATTTATAATATTTATGTTCTGTAAATTTACATTGAGCACTGTTTTTAAAAAATATCAATAAGAACACCGAATTATAAATCTTACTGTTCTTTCTTTTTTTTATATATATATATATATATATATATATATATATATATATATATATATATATATATATATATATATATTATCTTTTCCTATCTATCGACTAGCAGCATGGCCCGGCGTTGCCCGTGCTTGATTCAAAAACCGTACGACTCATACAGCAATCGCTATCACTTGACTTAAAATATTTTTGCCCTTCCTTGCCTTTAAAGGAGTGCCCTTTGCCGTGCTGATGTTGCTACATGACTTACTTCTTGCCTATCTCACACTGCGAATTTTTTCTAAGCTCTATATTAAACATTAAATCTGTTACGAAAAAAGAACTAAACAAAATGAACATAAAACGATCAGCTTTAAAAAAGGACTCGTAACTGGAAAAACCCAATGAAAAAAGAATGTTAACAACAAATACTTTTTCACACCCAACCCAGTTCCGCGGAATCAGAATCAAAAAGATGATCCCTCTTCCTGTTCTGACCTCCTGATCCAATTTTCCTCTCTACTGTCCCTTCGTTTTAAAATTTATTCACTGTTCTCTCGATGGATCTTGTATTGATTTCGATGATTGAAACCAGAGTATAAATGCTGTTGCCATTACTGAATGATCTTTTTCCTCTCGCCATTTTTCAGTTGGGTAGACACATTGGGTCTGACAAAAAATGATTTTAACCTGTTCTCTTTCTAGCTGAACAAATCAAATTGTTTTTTCAGTGATTCCTCTAACAAATGATGTCAAGATTGCTAAACGTATAATTCTAAAACCCGGAAAAAATGAGTTTTTTTTTATTTTTATTTTATTTTATTTTTTTTTTTTTAGATATTAAACATTTTTTTGTGATGGACAATTATGCTGTTAGACGATTTGAGAATTTTTGATGTTACACCCGGTGTGTACATTATATATATATATATATATATATATATATATATATATATATATATATATATATATATATATATATCATCCACAGACAGACTGTTTCGCTGTATCACAGTTCCTCATTGTGGCTAGACATCCGATTGCTTCAAGCCGGGATCGAAACCCGACATGTCAGATACCTTATCTCTAGGGCATCGTCGCACGTCAGAAAGAAAGGAAATTTTAACGTTTTTTATACGAAATACGCTAGCGGATCAGAGAACTCAACTCAATTTACGTGAAGGTAGATATATATATATATATATATATATATATATATATATATATATATATATATAGATAGATAGATAAAGAGAGAGAGGGCGGGAAGACGAAAATTATTTCTACTCTATGTTTTGTAATATTTCTTTCTCATTGACTCATTAATTTTTCGATCATTAGAATTAAAAATATGACGGCAGAGTTCAAAGTTCATAAATGCAGACATTGTCAATAATCAAAGTTTTTTTTTGTTAAAATCAGTTGTTGACTTTTCTACTTGAGTTTTAAATAGGTATTACTCATCTTTATTTTAGAATGTATCTGATGTCATTCGAATAGTGTCATTCTAAGAGTAGCTTAGACGTTGCACAAGGCCGAAAATATTGAGCATCTAGTGTGGATAGAACTGACTATTCAGTCGAAATTGATCTACGATATCATGTGAATCAGACTTTAAATATTTTTATGTTCCGTAAGTTTGACGCTGTATAGATTATAAGAATTTAAATGCAAATAATCGTACATACACATTGCTATACCCTCATAAAAATTATACTGAGCGCTTTTTTACTGCATCGGGAAGATATATCTGTCTGTCTGTCTGTCTGTCTGTCTCTCTGTCTCTCATTTATATATATATATATATATATATATAGTGTAAACCTGGATATAAGAGAGTTGCCGGGACCGGAGAAGAAGTCTCTTATATCCGGATTTGGTCTAATTTATATACATTAACAGAGGCTCTAATTTGGGACCAGAGAAAATCTCTCTTATATCCGGGTTTCTCTCATATCTGGGTCTCTTTTTATCCGGGTTACACTGTATATATATATATATATATATATATATATATATATATATATATATATATATGTGTGTGTGTGTGTGTGTGTGTGTGTATGGAGAAGTTTGGGGATTTAGAGTAATCATATATAGTTATTCATCGAGTCTAGAATAATACTCAACAAAATGCCTGAAAGCACTGGACGGCCGTTTCGTTCTATTTGGGACTCATCAGCAGTGCGCATCCTGTACAGAGAATTGAACCCGGACCGTTTCGATACAACGCAAACGTCATACTATGTGTACGACGGGTATCGGTGACGAAGAAGGAACTAACTAGACTCGATATAGCGCCGCTTCACAGTCTTCTTTTTCTTTTTTTTTTTTTTTTAGCGGGCCTCCATAACCTTTCAGCAAACAAAAAAAAAGTAATTTTATTTATTTATTTTTTTTACTAATAGATACGTTTAGGAATTGTATTATAGAAAAAGTGAATGTATATACTTCATTTTGAAGTAAAACTAATTTCATGAATATAGACTTGTATTTAACAACTAAATTCTATAGAACAGATCAACGGTCAGAGTAATATAAAACGTAAGAAAGATAGACAGAAAGATAGATAGACGGAAAGATAGATAGATCTGAATAAAAGATATGGCCGACCGAAACAAAAAAGTTAAAAAATTATAAGTTTAAGCCATGAATAGAGGAAAAGAAAGAAAGAAATGATGAAACGATACCCAAGATAAGTGAAAACAGAATAGTATAAAACATAAGAGGGGGAGATAGAAAAAAAAGATAGAGAGATAGAAAGATAGAAAGAAAGAAAAGAATAAAAGATAGAAAGAAAGAAAAGATAGAAAGAAAGAAAAGATAGAAAGAAAGAAAAGATAGATAGATAGAAAGAAAAGATAGATAGAAAAAGATAAATAGAAAGAAAGATAGATAGAAAGAAAAGATAGGTAGAAAGATAGATAAAAATATAGATAGAAAGATAGAAAGAAAAGAGATAGATAGATAGATAGATAGATAGATAGATAGATAGATAGAAAGAAAGATGGAAAGATAGATAGAAAGATATAGGTAGAAAGACAGATAGATAGATAGACAGATAGATAGAAAAAAAGAAAGAATGAAAGAAGGAAGGAAAAAGAATAATAATAGATAGAAAGATAGATACAGAGAAAGATAGAAAGAAAAGATAGATAGAAAGAAAGGTAGATAGAAATATAGATAGAAATATAGACAGGAAGAAAAGAGATAGAAGGATAGAAAGAAAAGAGATAGATAGATAGATAGATAGATAGATAGATAGATAGATAGATAGATAGATAGATAGATAGATAGATAGGATAATAGTAGATAGAAAGATAGATAGTTAGAAAGATAGAAAGAAAAGATAGAAAGAAAGGTAGATAGAAAGAAAAGATAGATAGAAAGATAGATAGAAATATAGATAGAAAGAAAAGAGATAGATAGATAGATAGATAGAAAGAAAGAAATATAGAAAGAAAGAAAGAAAGAAAGAAGGAAAAAGGATAATAATAGATAGAAAGATAGATAGTTAGAAAGATAGAAAGAAAAGATAGTTAGAAAGAAAGGTAGATAGAAAGAAAAGATAGATAGAAAGATAGATAGAAATATAGATAGAAAGAAAAGAGATAGAAAGTTAGAAAGAACAGAGATAGATAGATAGATAGATAGATAGATAGATAGATAGATAGAAAGATAGAAAGAAAAATAGAAAGATAGAAAGATGTACCGACAAGGTTTTAAAAACATTCAGTGTGCCAAAAAGCTTACGTATTTTTATACAAGTTCTATATACCTGTTCCATATATATATATATATATATATATATATATATATATATATATATATATATATATATATACTTTAGCATATAAAAAAATTTAAATAGCTAAATATATTCTGTTTTGTAGTAGTTATTGGTTCGGACTTCGTGATGTCATTCACGATTGCGTGCCATTGGAAATTGCTTGACGTGCCACGTGTAGCACGCGTGCCGTCGGTTGCCGACACCTGCTATAGAACATTTATATACACTAGTAAAATAACTAATAAAAAACATTTTTACAATCAAAACATCGCTTGATCTTGTATTCTATTTTTAGAATGTTAATGTGGCATAGATTACTGCACACATTCTATTTCTCAGTTGTAACTCCTGTCCTGAAGTGAAATTGCTCTATGGAACACTAAAATATTACCATGGGCCTCCAATTGGTTATTTTTTTGTGTGGACCCCCACTAATGTTACATGAACTCCCAGGGTCCATATGGAACCCAGCAAGAACTTAAGATTTACATCCTGAAAACATAGACCATTAAAAAGAGATTCTTACTATAACCGAAAAGAATGAAATTCATGTTTCTATTAAATATATTTTCTTATTTTTTTTATTATCAACGTTTAAGTACCTGTAGTAAATATGACAATATTCCAGTACCCGAAATTATCTGAAAATCAGCAATATTACCCGTCCTGATCTGGCGGCTCGGATTCAGTCGCTTTCCCACTGCTGTAAGGTCGCCTTACTGTGTCTTTCCTATAAACGCTTTCATGGTAATTGTTCGAATGAGCTCTTTGTTTTTTTACCAAGAATTATTTAATTTAAGCGCAGTACTAGACTGTCGTCTATATCTCAATTTACAGTTGAGTTGGATAAATGTAACCGTAAATTTTATGCTAACAGTTTTTTTTTCGCACTTCTAGCGTGTGGACTTCCTTCCAGCTCCAAGCTTTTCAGTTAAGTTTGATCCTCAAAAATTTAAATACACTGTCAATCGCTATCTACTGTCCTCCTGATTACTTTTTTTGTTTCCTCTCGTTAGTAAGGTTTCTGTTTCTAATTCGTCTACACCATTAAGTCCTTGCTTCTTAGTGGCTTTATTGCCTTGTATGGGGTGAAATCGATTAAAATAAATTCACCGCCATTTTTCTTAATGCGATGTCAAATAGCTGAATTTTGCCTCTTTGTCCTCATTGCTTTCATAGTTAAATGTCAAGTGTTATATATTATACACACTTGGGTGATCAAGCGTCTTTCGATTCATGACTGACTAGGCATATAGTTAAGGTAAAAATCTCGTTTTAATGCTCCATCCCTTCAGGGCGTCGACGAGGATCATCAGATTCCTCTTTCTATATTTGAATTGCCTTGACCTCTTGAGAAAGATAATGGTTGAGTTTCCATTTGAAGAGAGCATTTTTTAAGCAAGGCGATAATGCTACTAATACTCAAGGGATTACTGATAATGAGTGAAAGGAAATGTGAGGACTCTAGGGAGAAAAATAAAACAGGTATCAGAAAGACCGGACATGGAACAGGACGTTGCCTTTAAGTTTTTGAAGATTGAAGGTTGTAGGATAGCAATCAACCGGTAGGGTTGCAATGATTGGTAATACAAAAGATGATACTATTAAAATAAAACTTACCATTGTATCTAGCTACTAGTATTTTCAGACCTAATAACTTACTGTTTCTTTAGTTTTTAATTGTTTTCTACATTATATCAAACATTTACAGATTATTTATGTTGAGATGTTGAGTATTTCCACGTGCGTGTATTGAAATAAGAACAAACACATACGTAGGGGAAAATACTGGTATATCTGAAGAGGTATTTACAACAGAGAGATTAGTAGTCAAAACGAACGCAGGTTAATCAGTAACAACAAGAAAGAGTATAAAGTCCAACTGTATCTTCCGGTAGAGAGACGGAAGGGTGATGGTCACCTGATCTCCCCAGAACTCTATAGAACTGTCCTATTAGTTGTAGAGAGATCAGTCCATTCTGATGAGAAGGTGGGTGCGCCCCAACAATTTAAAATCAGAAAATGTTTTTAGATTATAAGAATTTTTTTTTTCGATATAATGATCTAGTTACGAACCCTGGATCGGGGAGAGCAGGTGGATAGATAGCTTTCTTTGCGCGTAAGTTAATATAATAAATAGAACAGGAATTGAAACTTGACACTCCGATTAAAAATTCCGAGCCATTATCCATTACATAATTCGTACATCCAAGCTTACAGCAACTGATACTTCCGTTTCATTCTGCGGTAAATCTGGTGGTCAACGAGGCCTAAACACCACTCTAACCCGCTATTTGCTGAATAGCGGGAAAAGAGAAAACATGGAGCTATATATTCTTTCAAGCATGTTCGCGTGTACGAAAATGTAATGGACCCGACTCAAATTCAAACTCAGCTCTCTCATTTTTCACTCCAAGATGTTATCTATAACACCATACTGTACATTCTCTTTGTTTTCATAATACGACAGTTATTCTCTTACTCTTGAAGTCGAGTGGCCTACGAAACGCCACGAGGTATTTATTACATTCATACAGATAAATATAACCACATCGATGTCGTGTAAGGGCTAGCCGACTTAACAGATCAGTTACAAGTGGGCAATGAGTTTGATCTTCATTTGTCATATCTCAGCTTAGCTTAATTAAAAGGGACACTTCGACGTGGTGTTATAGTTAACCAACTTATCTCGCTAGATTTGTTTGTTTGGGGTTTATGGCATATCAACCACTGTGGGTTATTTAATGCCAAATCCAGTTTATATGAATTTTAAATGCCTATTCTGTATGGAACATTTTTAGCAACCTAGAACTTATTTGCTTGCACACTGCAAAGTAATCCTAGGTATTTTTGTTTAAGTCAAGAATTTCCATTTGATAATGACAATTTATTTGCAAAACGATAAAACGTAGGATATGTTGTTTATACATCAGTCTATATCTTTGATAAGAGACCAATTCTTTTTAGAAAATCCAATATATTTTTTGGTTCCGATTTTGCAAATAATTTCTTCATGTTCTTTGTGTTATAGAATTTTCTACGGATTTGTGTGAGGTTTGTACATTCTATTAGTATATGTTTTACAGTGTATTGTTTTCAACAGGAACATTAAGGAGTAGGTTCTTGTTTTAGTACGAAAGAGTGAGTCAGTCTTGTGTGTCCAATGCGTAGTCAAACAGTGGTGGTTTGTTCTTGTTTTAAGATTCAGTTGCCTTTCCTTTAGAATTGGTGCTATTTGATAGAGTTTATTGTTGGTATTTTTGTGCCATAGTTGTTGCCATTTTAGTGTTATTATTGTCTTGATTTTATGTTTCAGGTCAGTGTATAGGATTTTGATGCTTTGGTCGGGTGTCATATTGAGAGAAGCTTTGACTAATGGATCCTTTCTCATTTTCCTGGATTCCAATATGGCTTGGGATCCAACAAAATATTACCTTTTTGCTATGTATTATTATCTCGCTAGATTAGTTACAACTGAATAGTGAATGCTATCCTTACTGGGTGCTCCATGCTCTCGGCCTTGTGCCACAACTTAACTACGCTTAGAACATCACCATTACTTTCATAATACAACCGTTATTGTCCTACTCGAGTGGCTATTGAACGCCACGTGGGGTGTATTACATTCTTACGGATACGTATGAATACTTCAACGTGGTGTAATGGTTAGTAAGTTTGTTTCAGACCAATTACGACTGGGTAGTGAGTTTCATACTCACTGGCTGCCTCACTTTCAGCTTTGTGCTACACTCTGGCAGCCCGATATTGTTTAATGATTCTGCCAAAAGTTCTGCCTATTAGAGCGCTTTCGCTATGCTTTTAGACATTATCAAGGACGATTTTATTTTATTTAAAAAAAAAAATGAAAAATAAACAGACATTGAGCTAAAAATACAAATTCGTCCTTGATAATGGCATCATGTTTTCTTCTTTCCCCCGTATTTGCTGAATATCAGGACAGAATGGATTCTGTAGACTTCGTTGACGACAGGTTTATCGCAGATAGAACCCGGAATATAGAATAGCCGAAATCGCTTGGAATTGCAGAACGTTTGTACCGTTTCTGCACACTTTGTGTACAAAAAAAAAATGAACACTTGTGCAAACACAAGAAAAATTAAATTAAAAGCTTAATCGTAGTACCTAGTCTATCGTCTTTAAGGAAACCCGTATAAAAGAGGGGTTGCTATACAAATACACAACATATTCACTTATATATATATATATATATATGAGTGTTTTATACGTGTATTTAATACCCTGGATATATGTATGCACAAGAGTCTCGCCAACGATTGACAAGCTTACATGATTTCATAAATGGAAATTGAGACACTTTATTCGTTGGTTTTACTGTCACGAACTTTGGTTTCAATGGTTTAATACAATGTATAGCGGCATGAGTGCTCAGGCAACGATGTGCAAGTCGCTCAAATATTTGTCCAGGCTTGGCATTCACGGTCAGATAAAAAAAAAATATTCATGATAAAATTAAATGAAATGACAAGTAAATGAAAAGATGAGAGATAGCACGCGGTCCCAAATCTGAATAAAAGATATGGCCGACCGAAACAAAAAAGTTAAAAATTATAAGTTTAAGCCATGAATAGAGGAAAAGAAAGAAAGAAATGATGAAAAGATACTCAAGATAAGTGAAAACAGAATAGTATAAAACATAAGAGGGTGGGATAGAAAAAAAAAAGATAGAAAGATAGAAAGAAAGAAAGAAAAGAATAAAAGATAGAAAGAAAGAAAAGATAGATAGATAGATAGATAGATAGATAGAAAGAAAAGAGATAGATAGATAGATAGATAGATAGATAGATAGATAGATAGATAGATAGATAGATAGAAAGACATAGGTAGAAAGGCAGATAGATAGGTAGAAAGACAAATAAATAGATAGACAGATAGAAAGAAAGAAAGAAAGAAGGAAGGAAAA